ATATTTTTAATGACTTAATGTTATTGGATCATGAAAGAACTAAGAACATGATTTGTTATTTTTTTGAAAAGCAGTTTTAATTTTCAACCTATTAGTATAAAATGTACTTTTTCTTAACGTGTATAAATAAACACAGCTTTTATAGTATATTTGGCTGCTCTACCACCGAGGTACATCCTAGTCCTTTTTTGTTTTTGTTTTTAATTTGAGATAGTGTCTGCTAAATTGCTCAGGGTGGCCTCAAATCTATAGTCATCTTACCTCACCCTTCTGAGTAGCTAGGATTATAAGCATATACCACAGTGCCCAGCCTGACCTTTTTACTTCATTGCTACAAATATCAGATTCCAGCCTAGCAAATAAGTTTTTGTCAAAAAATTCAAGAAAGGCTGGGGATTTACCTCAGTGGTGTCGCACCTGTCTCATAAGCGCAAGGTCCTAAGTTCGATTCCTATACCAAAAAAAAAAAATCCAAGAAGTTGTAAATGACAGACTGTGTTATGTGACTTTGAGTTGGCTCTGAAAGCATTGCCAAATGAGAAACTCAAAAAATTGAATAGTGCCAGCACAAAATCTAGACTTTGATTTCCAGACTTTTACAAAAGGCAGAGTTCACTAGGAAGTATATTTTGGCACTTTATAAGAGTAATGTTTTAAAAAAGTGTAAGCTGTGTGTGGTAGTACATGTCTGTTAGGAGACTGAGACAGGAGAATCTATGAATTCAAGGCCAGCATGAGCTGCATAGCAGGTTTAAAGCCATCCTGTACCTAGTGAGACCCTGTCTCAAAAAAAAAAGTAGATCTTAAACATGACAGAAAATGCTGGGAAAAAAATCGTAGGAACTAGAAAGGACCTATCAGAGGAGGTATTAGATGGGTCGAACTCTGTCTTGCCGTCAAAGAGGCTGGAGTTGGGGGGCCTCACCTTGCCTAGCCCTCTCACCCCTCTCTCCAGTGACCCTTGATGGCTTGGACAACTGAGCCCTTGGCCAGGCTGGACCAGATCCCCAGCCCAATCCATTTTGGAAAACCATGCAAATTCCAGTTATAAACTACTGTGCTTGTTTCTGTTTCTACTTTTTATTGTGTAAATATTTAAAAAGCAATTTTCAGGGCTGGGGTTTTAGCTCAGTGGTTCTGCCGCCTGCCTCAAAAGCACAGGGTCCTGAGTTCAATTCCCATTGCCAAAAAACCCCAATTTTCTGAAAACTGGGTATTCTAAAAGCACTTAGAGTTTTAATGACAAAAATAATAAACACAACTGTATATTTTAAGGACTAAAGGTAAAGCTTAAGCCAGTGCTCCTTATTTTCTGTTGGTGAGTTTTCTTCCAGCAAGGTCAGCAGCTGAGAGAAGTGGTTGTTAGAAAGTCATCGGGAGGAATTTGGGGTCACCTGTGAGGTCTGGCCTTTGGTACAAAGGGAGGGGACCTGGGCCTCAGTGCCCAGGGGAGATGCGCTCTGACCATTTGTGTTGCCATCTGCCCTTGGCAGTGTTTCCTGCCTTCACACATTGCACCATTCAGTCCACACAGCTCTGTAGGACATATGGCATTTGTGGCCAGGGGTGGGGAGGCAGGCTAGACAGAAGGCCTATAGAACCGTGGCCTTGGCACACAATGAATAGGCCAGGAAATGGCTTCGTTGCCAACTCCTTAGACAGCCAGCGGAGCAAAGCACTGTTACATACCTGCAGGAGCTCTCACCTCTGTCACTCATTGCCCCTCGGGACCATGATGTAAGGCAGTGTGTGTTTGTCATAGAATCAGCCTAAAGGGCAGAGAGCAGACTCCTCACCCATGATGCCACCCGTTTGGAGTTCCCAGATTCCCCTGCTTGTGACCAGCTGCTAGCCTGGCTGCCCCACACTGCACTTGCACCATCTTTTGGTGTGGCTGACTTTTCTCCACCAAAGATCTCAGCCTTCATCTCTGTGTACCCAATACTATCCTTCAGGGACAGATGAGAATGAACATTTTTCACCCTGTCCTTTCTGATACCAATTATAACTCAGAGGTCATGCTAGGTCTTCCCAAAGCAGAGTCCTTCCCCGTCCAGGGCTATATACAAAAGGGCCATGAACAGCCCTGAAGAGACAGATCAGCTGAGCAAATCTGGGGAGATTTCCTGGAAACAAGGAACTTGGCCCTGGTCTTGGGTGAGCTAACTCGCTGGTTTACTCACCTGTATCTGTGCTGTGGGCCTTGTGCTGGCCCCTGAGGCCCAGTGGTATATAGGATGTGGGAGAAGATATGTCAGCCACAGGAAGCTGGGCATCCAGCATCTGCTGCCCAGCTGTCCTCACCCTGGGTGGCAGGGAAGATGTGTGGGGAAGAACGTGTGAGTCCAGGAGCAGTGTGTCCTGGGGGAGAGGCCCTTGGCTGTTAGCATCTTTAGGGATTGCTCCATCCCTTTCCTGGGTGTCTGTAATGGATGGGAGAACTCAAAGCTCAGTCCTCTCACTCCAGCTCAGGGGAACACCAAAGCTGAGCTGGCCAGGGACTTCACTGGGTCTTGATGTTTTTCTCTGTCCCTTCTCTCCTCCTCTTGCCTCCCATGGGTGCTGATCCCAAGAGCACCACCAAGAAACACCCACACTCTAATCTCAGCCTGCTTCCCTGGAGTCCTGACCTGCAGCTTCCGTAGCTAAGCCCACCCGGTGATCAGTGGGTACATGTTAGGATGTCAGCTGGCTGTTAACGAGGACCTTGTGAGAAGGCAGTGAGGGACAGAGTATCCAGGTCGGACACATCTGGTTTCACTCCATGTGGCCAAAGGGCCGGTGAGTCTCCTGGATGGTTCCCCACAGCTGTTACTGTTTGGAACACAAATACATTTTTCATTTGTGGATTTACCTTAACCATGTGTTGACTGTTCATATGTCCAGCTTTGGTACTTTTGTAGAAATGAATTCCATGACCTCCCCACTGTTGGAAGTGTTGCCTTACAATTTAGAGCCATATATATCCACACCTCAAGATTTTGTGGGCAGACAAAGCAAAACCACAGTGGTCCGCTACTCACAGCACCCACCTAGTGGCCCTCCTAGGTGAAAGGCCACCCCCGCTTCCCGCTTCCCACTCCCCACTTGTCCAGCAAAAAGGCACAAGTGCCTCTGAACTACCATCACAGACAACACCTGTCTTCCAGTTGCTGGCAGTGTCAAAAGAATTTATTTCAAGTCTGCTTAAGACTGATAAAACTCAAGTTTTTCAAAAGGTAATACAGAAAGTGCAACCAACCCCCAAAGACCACAAAACACAGTGTTTGCAATTCAAAAAATACAAACGCTTGTGGATACCAATACAAAAATTAGAAAAAATTACTTGCCTCACCACTCCCCACCCCTCTGTGTTTTCCATGGAACATGAACAGCCACAGGACCAAGATGTGCCACCAAACACCAACCACGAGGGACAAAGTGATGTGATGGGGAGGGTGGGAAGCAGGGGCAAAGAAAGGCAGGAAAATGGAAGGTTTGTCGACAGCCAAAATAAGGACACAGCTTTTTTCTTGTTAAATTCCTTTGCCAATGTTAAACAAACACCTCATGCTTAATACAACAGTGTAGTGTGAAGGCAGCAATTCTACATCATGCATTTACATTTCCGCTTTGTCTGCTTGCCCCTTCCAGTGCTGAGACCCTGTGCGGCTCATGAAGTCCAGACTCCAGTGGGAGGGATTGGAATGGCTGTCCCAGGCCTGTCTCATGGAACAGGCACCCCCCAAGTCCTGCTCTCATGGTCACCAGCAGCCCCGAAGCCTTGCCCAGGGCCCTGGCCTGGTGCCCTGTGCCCACTTTATTGGCCCACAAGCCTCAGGGCCTTTCCTAGGACTAGGTTGGAGGCTGTGCCCACCATGAGCTGTGCCTCTTGAAAGAATAGTGTTGCTTCCAGTTGAGACTTCCCTGCAGTCAACTCCCAACTCTGTCCAATTGAAGTCAACATCATCCATTGAGACTTCTCCCTTAATAGCTCAGAAAGTGAAGTCCCAGCAGTCATGAGCTCTCTGCTTTCTACAGAGAGCTTGTGGGTGAGGGAGCTCTTGGACACCAGGACTTAGTGACCAGGGAGGCAGAATGCCACCTTAATGTCTCCTTGGCTTGGTGGGGGCTTCTGCTTGAAGCTACGAAATTGGTGACAGCATCTTCCCTGCACTTGAACAGAGCACCATTAACCCAGACCTCCTTGGGAATGCAACACTTGGGATGTTACTGTCTGTGGTCATGTGACAGCTGTCTTAAATGCCTCTTCTACCTCCTCCAGCCAGACAGCTGTGTAGTCAATACTTGTCGTGGTTCAAGGAGACTTAGATGGAAGACATGTGGTCAGAGGACTGTAGAAAATCACCACACAGCTTTGATCCGTCGAATGTGAGCCACTGGCCTAGACTTGAGAGACTGCAAGGTTTTTTTTTTCTTCAAAAAGTGCTATTCCATGATCCTCACAAGACAGAAGAGGAGGTAGGTTATTGTGACTAGTCCCATGTGCAGGTGGGGATACTGAGGCATAGAAAGATTCAGAGATTTGCCCCGACCCATGCCATGAACCAATGTCAAAGCCAGGTTAAGAGAGGTAAGCATCTTGAGGGCTGCACCTGTTGTGTGGTCAGTGCATCATTCTGTGCCGAGCCCACCTGCATCTTTCTGCAGCCTGTTTCCTAAGCTGCCAGGATTCCTGTCAGTGACAACAGCTACAGGCCCACTTAAAAAAAAAAAAAAAGTCCTGAGATTTCCCAGGATCAGCACAGACTTTGAATATGTTCTAGAAATATCTGATTAATTTTTATAACCTGCTGAAGACCACAGACTCATTAAAAAGTCTGTTGTTTCTAGTGGCCAAGGAATAAACGTAAGTTTTTCCTCTCTAAGGAAGGAGGGTGGTGCCAGACATCCTCCAGGAGCAGAGATGTGTGACCTGGGACCATGGCATCTGCTTGTGGCTCACCCTTTCCCCACCCGAAGGCTTGTGGTAAATCCTGGTCTTGGGCTGACATGAGAGTCGGCAGCTTTGTAATACAGGGTCTCAGTGCAACACAGAAGTGGAGGCTACCATCACTCTGAATATTGATGAATGACAGACCAGTAGCATGACCCTGGGGTCCTCAGTGGGGACAACCCCCAGGAATAGCCAGCAACCTCTAGATACATGTGGTTGTCACAACTAACTGGAGGTTGCCCCAAAGTACCATAGAGGTCAGAAACTGGCTTCATCCAATCCTGTTACGGGGTACTTCAGCATTCCCATGTTGAGATCCCAAAGGGGTCACCCACCCTCCCAGCTGCAGGTGGCAACCACCTGCCACTGTTACTGAAACAGTGAGAGGAGGACAGCCTTTCACTGGAGTGATGCAGGAATCCTGGGAGAGTGCGCATCGGTGCTGCATCTGATTCTGCCTGAAGGTGCTCTAGCAAGCAAGGGGCACTGAGCAGAGAAAGGGCTCAGGAGGAATGCCTCCCTGTCTTTTGGGAAGCACCATGGTGTCACATTGGCTTTCTCTGAGAAGCATGCCACCCCCATCCTGGGGGCCATAGGGCATTAAGGGTGCTGTCACAGCTACAGAGGACACACAGCCTTGCGATCAGCCTGGGTCACAGTGCTTAGGCTGAGCACCCATGTTCACTAAAACTGGGATCATTATGTCCCAAAGTGGACAGAGAAGGAAGAAAGGGCTGCTGTGGGCACTGCCCTCCCGTTTTGGAGCAGGAGCTGGATGCTCGGAATGAGGGAGGATGCCAGTGAGTACTAAAAGAGATGAACTTGAGTACACTTTGATCAGAGTGGCTTGCTAGCAAAGAAAGAACTGTGGGGCTATGTACAGAGGCATCGATTGTGATACAGTGGAACTCCACATCTTAAGCTACTCTGAGTTCCTTTCTCATGGAAACTGCTAGATAGATTTACACCAAGGTATTCTCAGCCAGCCCAACTGAAGCATCATCCTGATCTCATTTATGTACAAACATCTGTCCATACTGCAGAGTGGTGATGAGAATTCCATGACCTGTCTCTCCCTTCTACTACTTCTGCCTTAAAGAGTTGGTAAGTTCCTTCTTTGCTTTTCGGATCCCTCAAGAGCACAAGTGCATGGTCAGCCTGCCCTTCTCTTGGTGGCCCATGCTTGCCCTGAGAGGAGCTGTGCCTGGGGTAGCTTGGAAGGACTGCCTGGCACTGCCCTGGTATCAGCCATACTGCTTCTGGGCTCTGGTGCCGGTAAGAAAAGGGGCATGCCCCCACCCAATGCACTGTCCTGGCTGCTCCTCTTAGGACTTGAGGCAACTTTGTTCTTAAAGAGGCCACTGGAGGGCTAGGATGTGGCTCAGTGGTGGGTGCTTGCCTAGTATGTGTGGGGCCCTGGGTTTGGTCTCCAGCACTGCTTAAAAAAAACAAACCACCTGAAATTGTGGGCATTCCCATCTGTATTTCTGCACCACCTCTGATCTAGCTGCTGGCTCCCCCAGGCATCCCTGAACTGCTCCTGCTTCAAGATGGGTGATTTTTGGTGACCTTGTGACCCTCTGCTGACTGCAAGGACTTTCCTTGACTTCACAGCCTTGCCCTGCCTGCGGCCCAGCCTTGCCAGCACTGCCTGCATGCCTAGGGCATGGCCTGTTTTCTTCAAGACAGGAAGACACTCCCAAAGCCATGGGCATCTGGACTTGTGGACCTTACCATGGCTTCCTTGGCCCAAGAGGGCTGTGGCTTCTCTGTGTTCTTCAGCCTTTGGGCATCTGCTGCATGTAGATCCAGGGCCCTGAAGCTGGGGCTGTGGCCAAGGCTAAAGGAGAGTGGATGAGGGAGGCATCCAAGCAGCTGAGGACAGCAGGCCAGGTCCTGTATGTGACTGAGAGAGCTTGGACAGGGCTCCGAGACAGGGTAAGCAGAGCCAGAAACCACCAGACAGGAAAGGAGAATGGTAAGTCAAGCCCGGGACTGGGGCCTGGCATGGAGGCCAGGATATAGCACCACGATGCTCCTGGTGACACTGGGCAGCTGGCCCGATGGCACATCTGTGCAGATGGTGGGCCATGAGCGAAGTCCGAGGTAGGATGGTTGGCCCTGAAAGCCTAGTGGTGGATCCTCAGAAACAGGCACAGGATCTGCATGAGAAAGCGGCTGAGGGAGCACAGTTGGTGCCGGGGCATGGGCGAGTCTTACAAAAACCCACCCCAGCAAATGGACGAGCCAGTCCTTAGTGTCAAAATCACATGATTGATAACAGAGTCTTAGAAAGGTGACAGCAAGCTGACTTCCAGGTGGAGCTAGAGGAGCAGAGCACAGGGAATGAGGGAGGAGACAGAGGCCAGGTCCTAGGAGTGGGAGGACAATGTGGACTTCTTCCTGGTCTTGTTTCCAGGAGGAGGAGGAGGACTCACCCCAGAGCCCCCTGGCCCATGGGACACAGCACACCTGTGTGGGCTGTTACCCTCGAGTTCCTGTCTTCCTCACAGGTCCTGCCCACCTGTCAGCAGAGCCACCCTCTTGCCATTGGGGAACTTCTTGCATCTGTAATGCTTTCCTGACTGCAGTACATAGTGGTGGTGGGGGTGTCTCAAAGCAAAAGGTTGACTGACATGAGAGTCTCCAGCTTCCGTGCTTCTAAGTGTGTGTGTGGCCTGGCTCAGAAGAACAGCTGGACACATTTCCAGTTAGCTTCTGGGGCATCCATTTCCAGGAAAAGTCACCTCCAGGCAAAGACATGTCACAGGCATTAAAGTTCCAATGTTTCCATCTATGGCTAAAAACTAAGAACTCAGGAAATGACATGTGGTCGACTGTTGCACAAACCCATGAGTGTGTGTGTGTGTGTGTGTGTGTGAGAGAGAGAGAGAGAGAGAGAGAGAGAGCATACGACTGGTTGATTAATAAAGACCCTAAGGAAGCCCTTTAAAAGGTTGTCAGTAGTTCAGTGAGAGAAGCAAAAATCAAGTATTAATGATTAATGTCCCTTATGATCAGTCCTGAAATTAGGCCTACAAGTGGCATGTCATGTACTGAAGGCCCCAGAACCAGAATGCTGAAGGATGGCTTCTCCCAGCAGAGACAAGAACCTGCCAGCAGGGGTAACACTCAGGCATGGGTGACATCACAGCCCCAGCTCCATCTCAGAGTGCCAATCTCAAAGTCTGCCTTCCTCTTTCCGCCAACAAAAATCAACTTCGCAGTCAGACAGCAGGAAGCACACACATGTCCCAAAGGTCTTGATCCCTTAGGAAAGCCCCACGTGCTGAGTCTCTGTAGCATTTGGGTGGAAGAAGGTGAAACACACACTGGTGTCCTCCACTGGCGTGGCAGCCACAGCGTGGCCTGCAGCCCACCCCAAAGAAAACATCTCCAGATGTTCAGTGGCTGCTAAGCTGTACCCAGGACTTGCTCCTTGCTCATTGTCCCCTTGGGTAACCGGAGCTTCATGAGGATATGCAGCTCTTTCCAGCGAGGCCCCGGTCACAGGCCAGCTGGACAGCAGGAGCTGCTAGGCTAGTTGCCTGTCAGCTTTGGCCTCCCCAGGTTTGTTGGCACTTCCAATCCTGTGTGCAGGGTGACCTGGAAGAGAAGACCGGACAGCTGAGGCTGCGGCCTGCGTTCCTTTCCTGTGGTTGTCTTGCTAACCCCATGGACTGATATCCTTGGTAAATGATCAAGAAGTAATTGCTGTCATTTGCAAGAAAATAGATGGAACTGGAGATCATCATGTTAAGCAAAATACAACAGACTGAGAAGGACAAGTATCACGTTTTCTCTAATCTGTAGACTCTTACAAAAAAAATAAGCTGGTTATGGTAGCACATGCCCTAATCCCAGTACTCAGGAGGATGAGGCAGGAGGATCACTGTGAGTTTGAGGCCAGCCTGGGCTACACAGAGTTCAAGCCTAGACTGGACTACATAGTGAGACCTTGTCCCAAAAGTTCAAAAAGAGAAAAAAAAAGTGATGGCATGAAAGTAGAAGGTTACCATTATTGCACAAGAAGAGGACAGGGGAGAGGTAAAGGAAGGGCCATAGGGCAAATGGATAGAATCAAAATATATTATGTGCATGTATAAAAATACATTGAAACCCAACATTTTGCAAAACTAATAGGCGTTAATGATTGCCGTGGATGCATCAGTATGCAGGGCCAGTGAGCAGCTCAAGGCAGGTCCCCATGCCCTCCAGGGGAGGACTCCTGTAGAGAAGGATGCCACCCCTTGGTGCTCTTCTCCGTCACCCTCGGACTCTCATTTTATCTCTGGCTGGGCCCCCTGCCTGGGCCCAGCACTGAGCTCTGCTTCTTCAAAGTGGGTCCCGCTTGGTTCGAGGGAACAAGGGGGATCTGATCGCTCTAGAGAGCCCTCACTCTGGGAGTGCTGGGCAGCAGCAGGTGGGATCTGTGCTCTGTCTGTCTGTTTGGTAACCAGCTTCTTGAGACTCTAACTTGCTCTAGTGGGCGCAGCAGTATGGGGCTGGCAGCAGGGAGCATCCAGACCATGCTGGGCACGAGGTACCTGCACATTGCGGTTGAGGCTGAGGGCCGGCATGAAGACACCATCCACATGGCTGAAGGCTGTGGGGCCCTGCTGCTGTCCATTGATGAAGAAGGTCAAGGTGTGCTTATTCAGGTCCAGCAGCACGCCCACAGTGGCCCCCTTGCACACGCCGCCTTCTGTCCTACAGAGAGACACCCAGGAAGACCCATCACTACACTCAGCCTAGGATGCAGGCCATGACTCAGGAGAATTGTTTGAAGGATGTTGGGATACCCTCACCTAAAACCAGTCCCAGGGTTGGGGCAAGGCATATTCTGTGATTGTCCAAGCATATGGCAGTACATGCACGCATTACTAGACCACTCAGGAAGACTTAACTGGCGTGGGGTGGGGGGACTGGGCTGCTCAGCTCCTCCCAGCTCTATGTAAGATTTGCATACCACAGAGTCAGGGTCCTCTCTGAACCTAGGGAGCAGGCAACATGGATACAGAAGTTGCCTTTGCTTGCCAAAGAAAAGAACTAATTTGATCCCCTTCTCAGTTTTCAGCTGTGGGAATGCTGAGCTGGACTAAGATGGAGACACGAAGGCTACAGCATGTGGCTGGCAGAAGGGCACAAGTTGGAAATCAAGCCCTCTGAGTCGCCATCCCCCCTTGAGATCCTCAGTGATGGAGCCCGGAGCCCATATCATGTGGTTAGGGAGGAGCACCCTCCAAGCAGGGCCTGGGCCGGGCTGACCTTGCCTCCTCCCCATGGGCTGATTCACCCCATAAGAAAAGCATGCTGTTGTGCTGTTAGGAGTGAACTGAGCAGCGGGGCCAGAAAGGTGAGCAGTGGAAGGGCTCACAACACGAAGCCTGGAGGAGGGCTTGTGGACAGGCCAGGAAGGCGCTCCTTGAGAGGGCAGGTTTTCTGGAAGGTGCTCAAGGGCAGGCATGGGTCAGGACCCACAGGCAGAAAGGGAACTGAAACTGGGCTGGAGGTGCTCTTCGGATATTGGCCACAGGGTGGCGGTAGTAACCATCCTGAAGTGTCCGGCCTTGACTTTCACCACGTTTGGAGCTGGTGGGCCAGAACTCCGCCCCTCCGCGGGTTGCAGGTGAAGGGAGGGGCCAGCCTGCATCGCCCAATCAGCCAGTAAGAAAATGCAGTCGAGGCACAGAGTGCAAAAAGAGAGAGCTGCTTCCCTCCCTCAGGCCTCTAGGGGGAAAGGGATTAACAGTAAACTGGCAGCCAGCAGGTGGGGCTCCTGGGACTTCACACAAGTTCCTCGCCAGACTAGCAGGCCCTGGGAGAGAAGCTGGGCTCTCCCACTGTGGGGGAGGTGCCCACGGCTGTCTGTAGGAGCAGCAGGTAGACCCAGAGCAGGAAACCTCAGGGACCAACTGTCAAGAGTCGGGGGCCAGTGAACTCTGCTCCTTGAGGCTCCTCACCCCTGAGGACAATGGGAGAGGTCACTCCAGGTGAATGGCCAGCAATGGCAACATCTGCTTCCTGCATGGAAAACCAGGGCTCACACCCTGAAGTGACCCAGGCTTGGCTTGATGGTTGCAAAGAAAAGGGAAGCAGAACCAGAAAGAAGACCGTAAGCTCAGTACCCAGCAGAATACCCACCATGTGCCAGCTGCAAGACGGCAGACCTGCTGTGGGAGTGCTGTCCTAGTCATTGTCGCACACTCTCATCTGGGCCACAGACCAGTGATAACTTCCCTGGTCATTGTCAAAGCCACCCGGAACTGGTGATCAAAGTGCCTAAAAACACCACCCCCTGGGCCCTGCACGCCTGGCTTTGAGGAAGAAAATGGAAGGAACACATCAGGCAGGGCGGGGAGGGGAGGGAGGGGAGGGAGGGCGAGGCAGCACGCACCTGTTGGTGTGGGAGTTACAGTGCATGAACCAGCTGCGGTTGTTGTCCACGTACATGGCCCAGGCCTTGTCGTCCTTGCCCAACATCATGTCCTTGGCTACACTGGCCCTGGCCACGCCAAAGGCAGGGTCTGGGTGGTTGTCGTACCGGTCCACGTGCAGCTCCCAGTAGTGCACACCCTTGGAGAACGCGGCAGTGCCCAGCACTACCCGGTCATCATAGCTGCTGCAGGTGGCTGTCTGGTTGTCATTGGATAAAATGATGTCCCGGTGCCCAGAATTGGGGTCAAATGTGAACCAGGCCACTGGAAAGGGAGGACGTAAGAGTAGGATCAGGAGATGGAAATCCAACAGTTTCTAATGTGCTGAGACACGGACTCACTGGTTTTCACTGGAAAGTGGGCACACAGTGTCCAGTGGCCCTCTGCCTGGCAAGTGTACACACACCACACAAACGCACACACACCCACGCTCACTCATGTGTATGTTCCTTGCTCTGTGTTCCTCCATGTTCTCATCTTCAGAACACAGCCTTGCCAAAAAACACAGGTGTTCAGGCCTCCCGGTCCCACATATAGGTGCATCGTGGAGTTCTGCATTCTGGGACCCTTTCAAACACTCACACTGTTAACAGAGAAAGAAGGGGACATTGATGGCCTTCCTCTCTGTGGTTGACTGAAACACGGAGAAGTAAAGTGATGTGGCCAAGGTCACAAAGCTTAGTTCTCTGTTCTGCAGCCCATTGTGGGCCAGGATGCGGGACATGCTTTCTAAAATTATGACCACGGCACTCAGGACAAAAGAGGATTCATCTATGTGCTCTCTCCGAGACGTGGTGCTTACCATCAGACGTCTGCAGGACAACTGTCTTGCTGTATGGCCCGACACCCGAGGAGTTGAAGGCCTTGACCCTGGCATTGTAGGTGCTATTGAAGTGCAGCCCATCTATGGTGCACAGGGTCTCCTTGCCAACGTATACCTCCTGAAAGAGCCAAGGTTGCCCATTAGGACCCTGGGGCTCCAAGAAAATCCTTCATAGCAAATTGACACTCAAAGTGCTATCACCCAGTAGGACTGACTGAATAAGGGAGACTGCAGCCAGCACAGCTGGGCCTAGGCCATGTCCAAGTGGGTAGGTTCCCCCACTGTTGGCTGGGTGGCTGGGAGGTGCAGGGTAGGGGTCCTAGTGAGGCAGGTTGCACTTGTGCAGCTGGATCCCACACTACCAGAGAATCTCCTGCTTCTGCTGAGGCCAGCCCTGCCAGAACCCTCTGGAGCCTGGGGAACAATGACTGCCACATCCCCTCTCACTCTCGATGTTGCATCTTCTGCTCCTCGGCTTCCTGGGCTGCTGATTTTTAGATGTCCCCAGGGGGTAAGATGTTCCTGCCCTGGGCCCCAATTTCTCCTTTCTATGGATTTGTTTGTTTGCCATTGGCTTCCAAGTTCCTCTTGTCCTACTAACCCCCAGGACGTATGGCTATGCATGGTTCTCACCAGGCAGTGCTGCCCATTCAGGGCTTGCTCTTTATTTTTTTAGTTTCTGAGACAAGGTCTCTCTTTGTAGTTCAGGCTGGTCCTGAACTCACTATGTAGTCCAGGCTGGCCTTGAACTTGTGGCAATCCTCCTGCCTCATCCTCCTGAGTGCTGGGATAACAGGCGTGCACCACACACCCAGCTCAGGCAGGGCTCACTCTTCACTTGTGGCTCCATTGCTAATTGTCATCGCTGTGCACCCCTCATTGCATGAAGCATCCTAATCACCACACAACCTGGGGCCACCCACAGAGAATCCTGAGAAGATGGAAGCTCATTCCAGATCCCAGCTAATCCACATGGGAGCCATGTTTCAAATCCAGCTATCTGCATCTAAAGCCTCTCCGGTGCCTGCACCCTGCTGCCCATGAACCCTGGCCTTGGCCAGTATTCGAGGAGGAGGGGCTGTGTCTGAACTCTGTGGGTTCTTCTCTTAGTATCTGCAGTCTTTCTCTGTTCTCCTTCCTGGTTTCTGAGGGAAGAGCTCCTTCCCCTCCTGCTTCACTTGCGCTACAGGAGTGACCTAGTTCTGCACCCACCTAAGGTCTGCTGTCCCTGATGCCAGCTGCATCACCTCACTTCCCCATGGGCTATGTCCGCACATGATTCAGTGATTCCCAAGGGACTCACTTCCTCTAAAATTTATATATATATATTTATATATATAAATGTTTATATATATATATATATATAAATTTTTTCGTTTTTGGCACATGGTCCTGAGGATTAAACCCAGGACCTTTGCACTGAGCTGCATCCTCTGGCCTTTTTTATTTTGAGACAAATCTCACTCAGTTGCAGCTGCCTGTGCCCATGGGTCCTTGTGGCCGAGCCCTGTTCTTGGGTGGCATGTGGTTACGAGAAGGCGCACAGACTAGCCCTTTCCCCTCCCAACCACCATGCATCAGGACCCCCTGGGATCCACAGGGCTCACCCGGAACTGCCCCCCATCGCCGTCATCCAGCTCCAGGACATAGCCATCGGCAGGGCTGGGGGTGAAGGGCGGTGTCCTCCAGGCCAGTGTGACACTGTTGTTGCGGGTGCAGCACTTCTCCAGCTGCAGCAGGGGGGCAGGTGGCACTGGGACAGGGACCGTGGGGTCAGCTCCCAGTGCCCTGCTCTCACAGGCCCCTGAGGACAACGTGGCTGAACTCTCTCCCTGGCCATCGGCAGCCACTGCCAGTGGACAGGGAAGTACAAGGAGCCCTAGAGGGAGTCCCACATCCTGGGGCCTGTGGATGGGGCCCTGTGCTCAAAGCCAGTAACCTGAGGAAGGTGCTCCTCTTTCCCACCTGCCCACCGACAACTGTGGTACAGACTCTAAGGCCAGGGCAGAGCACATACCAGAGACTACATTATGCCTGCTGCCCTCTCTTGGAGGGACTGGGACCAAATGAGGCAGTCTGAGGCTTGTGCCTGGGTGCTATGCTGTGGATCATAAGTGTCTCCCAAAGGCCCATGTGTTAGGGTTAGGATTGGTCTCCAGTATGGCATTATTGGGGGTGGTGGCAACTTTAAAGGGTAAGGATTAGTGGGAGATCATCAGATCATTGTGGGCATGCCCTTGAAGAGGGTTGTGGGCCTCCAACCCCTTCCCCTTCCTTTCTTTTCTTTTGCTCCTTGGGTGTGAGGAGAGTGGTTTTGCTCTACTATACTGTGGCCATGATGTGCTGCCCCATCACCAAACAGTGGGCCAACCAACCATGGACTGGAACCTCCCTAACTGTGAGCCAAAATAAACCATTTTTTTCAAAGATTATCTCAGGAATTTGTTAACAGTGATGTAGACCTGACTGACACAAAATGCACTGATGCATTTAAACCCTTGTGTGTGTGTGTGTGTGTGTGAGGGGGCTTTAAGAGGTCAGAGGATTAGATCTGGACAAGGGAAGCAGCCTTGGAGGACCCAACAGCCAACCCAGGCAATAGGGTTCGTGTCAGGTGTACCCTGAGCTCGCCTAAGCTGACAGTGGGAGACACTGTATGTTCAAGCTCTATTCACTGGGCTCAAGAGAGTTCTGAAACTGATACAGCCCACTCTGACCTTTTTGTACATGGGAAAATGACAAGATTGGTGCTGGGAAAATGGCCTATTTCCACTTGGCTCCAAGAATGAGGTCACTGTCCTGCAGGTGTCAGCTGACAGCCCAGCTGGGTGAAATCTGACCATTTGCATGTTCTCAGCATAGCCAGACTCTCACCCCCTGGTCCCCTTCCATCCCCTCCTGCTCTCATCTCTGAACCTCAAGACCCACAAGGCAGGAGCAGTACCCGAGTCCCTGAGCCTCCTCCCATAGCACCCTCACTTTCTGGGGTAACTGTGCCTCCACTGCAGCTCCTTCACCCCACCAGGCCACTCTGGCTTCTCAGCCTTGCATCTCATTTGAACCTGGGGGCGGTGGCACTTCTGAACCTCACAGGGTATGAAACATTGAACTCAGCCGGGAGTGTGCAAGTGGCTGTTAGGTTAAAAATGGCCACATCACACATTCTGCAGTCAGGACTCCTGGTTCACAGATCTGCCTGTGTGCCCCCCCCCCCACATCTTCTGAAGGCAATAGCTGTACTTCCCCTACTGAACGCTCTTGGCGGCTCTGAGAGGCAGTGTGGAGGACAGGACTCTGGTTCTGACTATCACTTGCTAACTCATAAAAGGCTGGATTGTGGAATCTTCAGTTAACCTTTCATTGTGTGTCCCCTCGGCTCTCTGAACCTGGCTCCTGCCATCTCCCACACGCTCATTCTGTTCTCACTTCTGACTTTGGTGCTTTTCTGGGGATACAGAAACCTTGTTCCTGCCTCAGAGCCGTGGTGCTTCCTACCCCTCTGCCTCCTCAGGTGCTCTTCCCTTAGGTTGCTTCTCTCTCCTTCCCTTCCTCCCTCTTCTTCTTCCTTCTTTCCCTACTCCTCACCTCACAATACACCCCCACATCTCCTGCTGCCCCTTGCTCTGCTCTTTATTTGTAGTACCTACCACTATCTGACACTGTATTCGGATTTGTTTGCACATGATCTATAGCCTTATCTGGACTAGAAGCTCAGTCCTGAGGGGTTGCGGATTTGTTTACCCCCGGACCCAGAGCATCTGCCATGGCTAGCCTAGCCTGGGTGGACACTGTGTTTTTTGTTTGTTTTGTTTTGTGGTACTAGGGTTGAACCCAGGACCTTCATAGTGAGCTACATCCCCAGCCCTTTTTATGTTGAGACAGAGTGTCACTGAATTGCTGTGTTGTCTCAGCTGGGCTCAAACTTGGAAATTTCCTGTCTCAGCCTCCCAGAGTGTTGGGAGTACAGATTCATGCCACCAGATCCAGCTTGTGTCTCTGAATGACAAGTAGTCCTCACTTTACAAGGAGGAAGCTCAGCTCTGGCTGTGGGCGATGGCCCCAGCCTCTGCAGCCAGGCCTGGGACTTGGCATCCCCACCCCTCCTCATTCTGCTGGCCTGGGCATCGAAGGCTCCCACCAGCACCAAGCTGTCCCTCAGACTGGATGCCTCTCTGGGAAGATGCCCTGACTGAACTGGGGCCAACCGAGGCTCACCCCTACATTTCATCTGAAGGAAGTCCAGCTGGTGGATGGCCTGCAGCAGCGGCTCACTGTCCAAGGTCAGGTCAAACTCTGCAGACACCTTCGGCTCCAGGGCACCTTTGACCCACTGCTCCTGAGACACCTGCACACGCTTGATCAGCGCGTCGGAGATCTTGGGGAGGGGAAGCACAAGGGTGAGGGTCTGAACTGTAGGAAGACTTGAGCACAGGTGTTGAGGAAGGGCTGGAGCTCTGTGCCTGTGGCTCGGGGACCTCTGAGAGGGGCTGTGCCTTCTAGCCATGGCAGAGATAAAGTGACCCCAGCCTGTAGAGGACTGGCCAGCTCTAGCTGCATAAAGATGCAGTGCATGGTTTCAATCATAGCTCAGAAGCCTGGTCATATAAAATGTAAAAAAGCACCGGCTCTTCAAAGAAATTGGGCCAAACCCTTTTGTGATTTTAAAAAAAATATATGCGAAAGCACATCTGTTTTGCCAAATCTAGTAGTTTGCAAAATGAAACATACTAGTCATTTGTCCCAGGGTGTGAAAAAAGCATCTCCCACGTCCAACCTCCTGTGTCTCTTCCAAGTTATTCTGTGGCTTCTGCTGCAAACTCTAACTGCGTCCCACCCATGGCGCTGCTCTTTTTGCTGGAAGTTTTGCTTACCATACCATGAGCTCATGCACCTGTCTTGGGGAATAATCAAGGGGGTTCACCATTTTCCCCACAAACAGACTGAATGGCTACAATATTCCTGAGCTCCTCACGTCCCCAGGTCAGATTGAGGCTGGAGCAATGACCCCTGAAAGACTGCATGGTCTCTGAGGGAGGCTGGTCACTGCACAGGCCTGCAGGACTCTGGACACTGAGGTATGAGCTGTGTGGATTCTGCTAACTCACTTCTTGTACAGTCTGTCCAGCCTATTTGGCAAAGACTGTCCTTTCCTATTTGTGAGAAAAATGCTGAAGCCTAGCGCTCAGTCCCTAGAGACGATGCCATTTCACCTTTTTGTTTAATGAATGATGCAAAATTAAGGTTGCAGCCAGCTTCTAGGATCACTGAGCAAAGGAGAATAACTTGGCTCCAAGCCAGGGAAAGATCTTGCCTCAAGCTTGGGCTGGTTTGGGGAGTGGTGTTGGAGGAGCTGGAAGAAGCCCAGCTGTGCCCCTGCAGTGGCCAGGCTCACCTGTAGGAAGCCCGAGGGGTCGTTCTCCTTGATCACCTCCAGACAGTACTCCATCAGGCCCGTGGACTGGCGCAGCTTCAGCGTGCAGTGATTGATCTGGTCCCACACCATCTGCAATGGGGAGAGTCCTCTGGGTGACCGTGTCCTCGGGGAAAGAGTAGCCAGCCCTCAAGAGCCAGAGCCAGTGCAGCAATGAGAGGAGGCAGTGCTGCTCGTGAACCCCTAGCAACCTCTTACTGGGCAATAAATAGACCCATTTCCCAACACTGCAAACTTCTGCACTGTGGACAGGGTTGCAGAGAAAGGGCATCATCTGAACCCCCAAGCGGGTGGCCAGCTCCTCCCCTTCCTCTGCCCTTCTGGAGCTCACAGATGGCTTCTGTGGCTCAGTGGCTTCACCCGTGCACATGTTTGGTTGGGACAAGCCTCCATAAGGTGGAGCTCCTGGGACAGTGGCAACCCCTCCACAGTTCAGAGTTATGACTGTTCACTGTGTAAGGGGAAGGGTAATCCTCACTGCCCTCTGGTGGAAATCGGCCCCATGTGTTATTGCATGAGGACTGGACAGAGGCCTGAGCAGAGCTAGGCCTGGTCGGTCACTGCCACTGGTCACTCCTGCTCTGCAAGATGAGACCGAGAGGGTCCCTCTGACAGACACGAGCGGGGGGAGGTGGGAGAGTGGCTTCTGACTTTTCTACAGCAGGACGCTTGGAGACAGCGTGGGCAGGGAGTGGCCTCTGGTGCAATGGGGCCAGCCTGCCTCACCGCACTCACTCAGCCCCTCAGCAGAGAGTACCAGGTGCCTACCTTCAGCTTGTGCTCCCTCTCCTTAGTCACCTTGGTGAGCAGCTTGGCCTTCTGCCGGGTCAGCGCATCCACCAGGGCGTCACACTGAGCCACCAGGCAGGCCTCATAGTCTAGACCATTTTCCTTGGGGGAAGCAGAGAGTGTTAAGAAGACACTGAGGTCCCGAGTGCTACAGACAGAAGAGTGGTTTGTTTTTTTTACTGAAAAAATAAAACAAACTTTCATAATGAAATAATGAGAATGACAGTAGTTAATACACTGTATCTCATGAAGAGTGTTTTGGAGGTGCTCGGCTCAGAGACACAGACACTGGTGTGTGTGGACTTATGGATATGAATTGGGAGGGGTCCTGTGAGTCCCCACACATCCGCATGGCAGAACACTCTGTTGTCATGTGCACCTGCTCACAGAGCATTGTTAATGCTGTAGGATGTGCTCTCGACAGAGTGTGAAGAAGGAAGAAGTGCTGGGGTACAGCTCAGCCGTAGACCGCCTGCCTAGCACATGTGAGGCCCTGGGATCCATTCCCGGTACTACCAAAAGAAGAAGGAGCCGGGTGTGGAGGCACTCGCCTGTAACGCCAGCACTCCGGAGGCTGAAGCAAGAGGATCACTGCAAGTTTGAAGCCAGCCTGGGCTACATAGTGAGTTCAAGGCCAGTACATTTGAGACCGTGTCTCAAAAAACCGAAAAGAATAAGAGGAAGAGGAAGGAGAAGGAGGAGGAGGAAGAACCCAGACAGGATATGAGCTGTGTGCCACATAATTCTATGCACAGTGTGCATGTATTTGGGTTCAAAGTGATGGAACAACTCACCTCAACATGGTGACATGGGTAGGATGTTGGTGAACTTTTTCCCTACTTTCCAAAACTTTCTTTTTTTGTTTTTTCTTTTTTTTTTTTTTGAGACACCATCTCAGTCTGTAATTCAGGCTGACGTCGAACTCACTATGGAGCCCAGGCTGGCCTCAAATACTCAGTGATCCTTCTGCCTCAGCCTCCCAAGTTCTGGGATTACAGGTGTGCACCACCAAGCCCGGCTTCCAAAGCTTCTATGATACATACTTTTGCTTTTTATAATCTGAAGCAAGAAGCAAACAACAACAGAAAAAATCCTGTTCTTGCAGTAGGTCTTTCTTGATGTTAAGAAAGAATCCTCCAGGTCCAACATCAGCATGGGTTCAGAGCTCTTGCTATGAGCTGACCAGTGTGGAAGTCTCAATCCCAGGACCTCAGAATGTGACTGTACTGGAAGAAGTTCTTTAAACAGGTCATTAAGTGATAATGAGGCCATGAGGGTGGACCTGGATCCAGTCTGACTGGGGTGCTCTTAGAAAAGGGATGAGGGATGTCACATGAAGGAACTGGGAGGGGACTCCATCTGCAAGCCAGGGAGGGAAGGCCTCAGGAGAAACCAGCCCTGCCCACACCTTGACCTTGGACTTCCAGCCCCCACAACTGAAGGAATAAATTTCTGTTCTTCAAGCTGCCCCATCTCTGATAGTCTATGATGCAGCCTAAGCAAACTAATGCATCTCATATTTGTGAAAAGACAGAAATTTCGTGACTTAAATACTCCTGACTGAAGTCTGAGTTTGACTACTTAGGGGCATGAGTTTTGCTGTAGTTTGATGTTTCTTTTCTTTTTTCTTCAGTACTGAGGATTGAACCTAGGGCCTTGTGTGTAATAGACAGTATTCTGTCCCAGAGCTACATCTCCAGTCCTTTTTAAAAATTTTATTTTGAGATGAGTCTTGCTAAGTTGTTCAGGCTAGCCTCCAATTTGTAATCCTGCTTCAGCCTCCCGAGTAGCTGGGATTATAGGTGTGAACTACCATGCCTGGCCTGTAGTTTGGATCTTGAATGTGCCCCAGAGGTTCTTGTGTTGAAGGCTTGGTCTGCTGGCACTACTGGGAGGCAGTGGGACCTAGGAGGTGGGGCCTAGTGGGAGGAAGTTATGTCATTGGCACTGTGCCCTTGAAGGGGATATTAGAACTCCATCCTCTTCCTCTCCCTGTTTCTTGTTCACCATCTACAGCCATACCACCCTGAATGCACCTGATTTTGTCAGTTTCTTGTTCACCATGAGGTGAGCAGCCTCCTCTGCCACATGCTCCCATCATGATGTTTGTGATGCCCCAGGCCCAATGGGGCCAAGTGATTGTGGATGGAAACTGCCAAAATAAACCTCTCCTCCTTGTAAGCTGGTTATCTCAGCTACTTTGTCAGCATAATGGGAAGCTGACTAACACAGTTTTTATGGTCTGATTAAGAATTCAGGGGCCTAAGACTCTTTTCTCCAGCCAGATACATGGAGGGTTTATAGGCTCCTGGTCTGTATGGACAGTCTCTATGTGTCCACACATGTGTCCACACAGAGAGCACTCTCTCCCCTCCACACAGGGCTCCCTAAAGCCAGACTGCTGGCCTTTGTGCCCTTGCTAGGCTCAGTACAGCACGGAGCATAGGTACCCCACAAACACACTTGTTTAGGAACTGAGGCGTTTATGTTTGGATGCATTGGTCACACAGGCATGATTGGGTTTAAAAGCACCCTATACAGATATCACCACATAGGACTGCATGGCCATGTGGCGTTGGATCACATCTCTCTGGCTCTCTGCTGCATGACGTTTTCTAATTGGCTTCATGTAAACCCCTTTCCACAACAGGTGTCACTTTCCATGTCAATGGATGCCACTGCACCTTCAGCATCCAAGGGTACACAACAAGACACATTAAATCCCTAATGTTCTCTGCCGGAAACACTTTCCCAAAGCTCCTCATCCTTCTGCATGGCTGCATGTTCTACAGACTGACCACACAGAGCATGCCCAGTACCATCATGTGCTCACCTGGATCTGTTGCAGGATGTTCTTGAGCTGAACCAGGAACTCCTTTGCCTCTTTGGCCTTGTCTGAAACTCCATTTAAGGCCTGAGAGAGTTGGGCCTGAAAAAGATATTTCATGTTGGTTAAGGAAGTTGGTGTGAAGGGCACATGCTTGCATTCCATCATGAAAGCCTGTGATCGTGAGAGGGTGAACTAGTCCCATGGGTGAGCTGTCTTCTTTAATGATAGGACCACACCCGACTCATGGGCCTACAATATATACCTGTTCCCCAGCAGTGCTCGGTGGGTGTGGATTGGTTTGTACTCTTCTACCTGACCCCAAAGCTGCAAAGAGGTAAGGAGCACAAGGCCCACCCCCGATGCTGGCATAGCCTTGGCCTGGCTGGCCTGCTCTTCCTGTGGCAAGTATATCCTTCATCAACTGGTGCTTAGGAATCCCATACCCCAGCAAGCTCTGTCCACCCAGCTCCACACAGCCCTCTTCAAACCTATGATGCACATACGGTGGAAGGGACAAAAAGCAGCCCGTGTGCCTGCAAGGGGACAAGGCTGCATGGATGGGACTCCTACGGGGTCCTCTAGAAGGGCAGGCAGGTTCCTATAGGACGATGGCAGAAGTGTTTGGCATCTGCTCTGTCTGACATGGTGGCCATGACCTGCATGTGACTCTTGAGCCCCTGAAGGGTGGCCAATCTGACTGAGCAGCTGGAGTTTTAATATTGTTTAGTTTAAGTTTCACCTGCCACCAGTGGCCCATGGCTCCCATCAGGAACACAGGCCTTTCTCCCCGTCCTGGGTGGGTCCAGGGCCTGGGACACTGGTATGTAGAAGGCTCAGGTGGCCCCATCTTCAACAACAGAGATGTTCAAAATGAAGCCTCTCAGTGTCCAAAAAGGAACGGCTACCCCTCCCCCAAAGCACCCACCAACCAGGGGCCCACATAGGCAGCAGAACACTCTAGACAGGGCTTTGATAACCTCATTTGTTCCTCACAGTCCTGGGTCTAAAGTCCTTCCAGATCAATGAGCCTGTGTGGTTGGGTTCTTGGTGAGGGCTCTGCTCCTGGGCCAGTTCTCACATGGAACTTAGTGGTGTATGGAAGCAGAGGAGCCCTGGTTCTCTTCTTCTTAGCAGGCCACAATTTCATCACGTGGCTCCACTGTCTGTCATCTGGACCCAACTACAGTGGCCCTTTGACTTACGAACTCGATTGGTTTCCAAGGGCTGGTTGTAACTCAAGTTGCTTATAAGTCAATACAGCTGAGGTCTGAAGGTTTACCTGGGCATATGCTGTGGACAACAAGAGGCAAGTGAATCTTCCATTAACCTAAGTAACCCAAGTTGTTATGTCACACCGGTCATAACTTGAAGGTCCATTGTACTTCCCAAAGGCCCCACTTCCTACCATGGTCACTGGGAGGATTAGGGTCTGCCTCCCCTAACCTCTAGGACCCAATGGGGAGATTGTCATTTGTCTTTGCATTTCTAGCCAGAAAGCCTGCACAAAGCAGGGGCTCAAGAATCACTTCCTGGCCAGGCATGGTGGCGAACGCCTGTAATCCCAGCACTCAGGAGGCTGAGGATCACTGTGAGTTTGAGGCCACCACTCCCTGGTGAATAATAAGCAAAATGACTGGATCACTTGAGGCACATGCTGAGTGGGGCAGATCCCAGCAGATCTCTCACCACCATGAGTGCCTCCTAGATGGCCTGGCCTGTGGGCTTCTGCCCAAGAGTTAGGGAGAGGGCGGGCCAGCTACCCAACACCAGGGCCTGCTCTACTCTGCCCGAGCCCTCTCTGGGGCCTGCTGACCTCTTCCCACTTGGCAAGGAGACCTCAGCCTTGGGCAGAGCCTGGATGAAAGGACCATCTCAGCTCAGCTGACGAAGCATCCACCCAGCAGAGGCAGACTCTCCTCCTGACTTTCCCTCTGCTGCTCTGGGTACCATCCAGAGTTAGCTGCCAAGTGCAAAGCACCCCAGGGACTCCCTACCCTATGTTCTCCAGATGAAGATCCTTTGTTGCCATCTGCTGGCCATGGAGGGCCCTTGGTGGGCAGTGTGAGGGCCGACTGCTGTGCAGGGAGGTCCCCACAGGCTACATTGACCTCTCTCCACCCCTGGAGAAGCTCCTTCCCAGGCAGGAGGTGAAATTTACCTTTATGGTTGAATGGATTTTAACCTGAATCACAAACCCACCATTGGTAGCTCCCTGGTCTCCCCCACCAGAGTCTGGGTTCACATAATCTTCTCACTGGGCAAAACTAATGCCTGTCTGCCCATCTTCCCTGGCAGCCCAGGAGCGGCTAGCCGGCAAGCTAGGAGCCCAGCTGGGGTTCCTTCTGGGCAGGGCTGGAAGTGCATTCTGGGTGAGGACCAGGCCAGACTGCTTTGAATCGTGGCTCTGTGTGTCCTAGGCAGATGCTACATCCTTCTGCGGTGACAGCCTTGTGCTCAAATTTGGGAATGACAACAGTAATTGTCACAGGCTCTTACTATTACACTTAGTCATCTAACCAAGCATTCCCTAATCCCAACTCAGGTCTATGTCTGTGAATTTCCTGAAAGCACACACTGGAGCCCACCTGTGTCTTCAGGTTCTAAGCCTGTTCGGTGATTTTTCTAGCTAGCCACTGTGTGAGAAGCCCCTAAATCACCTTCTTTTAAGTTTGATCCCTGAATACTTCTTAGAAGTTGTCAGATTTATTTCAAAACAGATTTTTGAAATATGCTTTCTATATCCTTTTAAATTCTGTAAAACCTGTGGTAATGTCTCCTAGGTCTTGATATTGTAATTTAAAAAATGTATAATTGATACTGTGTAATAGGAAGTAAAGGTCTAAAGGATCAGGGGAAGTGGGAGGGGTAGGGGAAAGGAAAGAAGGGAAAAGAAAAAATATGAGAAAAGAAAAAAATGGAAACAAAGTCTTTGTAAATAGGGAAGGGTGGAGGGGGTGAAGGGAGGGCTAGGAATGGGGAAAAAATAAGAACCAAGATGCATTATGTAAAGGTACAAGATCCCAATGATGTATGTAACTGCATTTTATACCTAAAATGTACCAGTAAACTTAATGGGAAAAAAAAAAAGTTTGATCCCTGATTTCTAACATCAGGGTACCCAGTGGAAATACAGGGTTTTAGAGACAAAAGACCTTAAACAGTGCTGTCTGACTTCTCTTCTGAGAAGCTGATCTTCTAATGAAATGTATAAACTACAAAGGAGCACATAAATTATAATATTGCCACTGGATGTCCTAACATCCAAAGTGTTCTGTTGTTTGCCTGATGGGCAGTCAGCACGCTAAAAGTCTAGACACTTTCCACCTAAACATATCCAAGATCGCAAAGCTAACTAAGAACAATTCTTATTTAAATGTAAAAGAGCTGGAAAGGGGCAAATTACTGGCCATGGGCATGTAAGGCCCAGAAAATACAATCCACACTGGTGCAGTGTGTAGCTACGTGACTGCCATGAACACCACCCCCGACATTTGGGGGACACAACACCCGCCTATGAAACCTCACTCTTTGGAACTGAAAGGCCCTTCCTTGTTGGACAAGTTGAGCGCCCCCCCCCCCCACTATCTGCCCAGTACTGGAGCAAAGGCAGGTCTTGGGCTCGCCCTGCCCAGGAGTACGGGTGAGAGTGCCTAATCACCCGACAGAGGTCTCTGTGGAAAGGTCCCTCTGGGGCCCTTCGTCTCCCACACCTCAGCGAACTCCTGACTCCCCTCTTCCCACCTGCTCTCCTCACCTCCCTTCTCCGCACAGCAGTGTCCTCCACTGCACAGCCACATCCAGCCTCCCAGCTCAGCACCAAGGCCCTCCCTGCTGCCGCCCGCTTGGTCTCCACCCTCAGCTCTCCTCTCCTCCTTGGCTGTGGCAGTCCTGCTCTCCCTCTTTGGCTTTGCCTAGTGCTGCCTGTCAACATGCATCCAGCTGGGAAGACCCTCCTCTCATGGCCCTCCTGCAGCCTGGCTACCCTCGCCCCACACAGAACATGCCCTCTGAGCTCCCAGAGCAGAGCAGAGCCTGACCTGCAGGGCGGATGGCTACCAGCCCTGCCCTGTGGCCCATCTGCCCCAAGAGCTCTGTCCTGAGCATCTCCGTGTGCCACACAGTGGGGAGTGCGATGCCTGCCACACAGACCGTGCCCATAACCATCGTGTGGTGCACGGATTTTGCTCTGGACTATTTCTGCTTCCCTTGAGCTACTCACACCTCAGTCCTCCCACCCTGGGCATGATTAGCATGGCTGTGAGGTCATCTTTCACCCAGTGTTTGAGGGCACGTAGCTTACCTTGCACATGGCTTCTGGGTGCTAATCCTTTCTGGTCTGGGTCCAGATGTCTTTAGGTTAGCTGCCACCAGTGATCTGGCCCAAGTGTCCCACTGTACAGACTTTCTGATGTCCCCACTCCCTGCCTCTGTCTGCAGACTAGCAGGTCCCTGCCCACCCTGCTGAACCACCTTGCCCACAGCAACCCTGCACCCAGGCTACAGAAAGCAGCTTTGTTTTTTCATCTTCTCTGAACTGTCAGCCCTAGGCTCCAAGTACCTATGACCAAAATAAACCAGCAGCCAAGCAGAAGTCATGGTGGTGAGCCTTGAAGGCCCTCATGGTGGGAACAGGAGCAGCAAGCTTGAGCCTGGGAGGGGAGGTTGCCCAGGGCATTTGGAGACACTCACAGGGCTGGGACTGGGGTGAGTTGGACAGGGGAAGCCCCGGGAGCAGGTGAAGGTAGGACCAAGACACCTCGCCACCAGATGGTAGTAGCCACATCTCCTGGGTCCCCCAAGCCACAGGGTACCCTCCCCCCAGCTCCAGATCCAGCCCACCCTGAGGGCCCTGTTCTTGGAGGCAGCTGTGCATGCATGTTCACCCGGGGAGACCAGCTCACAACTGATGCTCGGGGAGCAATGTCGGGGTAGCCCCACCACGTTAGGGCCGTGGGTCACAGGTCGAGTGGACCCCTTTGATGAGGGCTGGTGCATACCTCATCTAGGCCAGTGGGAGCGCCCTCCTCGAGCCAAGGGAATGGAGCCTGGGGAAATGAGGCACCTTTTCCCTGGCTCCCTGGCCAGACTCCTATGGGCCC